AAACAATTATGGGCTAGTCAATCATTTGCAACTATAAAATATCCAGTTGGAAGAATATATTATGGAGCTTTAATTTTAGTTTCATATGATATATCAGCAAGAAATAAAATTTGTAGATTTTTTAGCATTCTTCTAAACATGCATATTTTAAATTTAAAAAACTTTTTAAAACTAATGATACTTCAGATCAATCAAATATTGATAATTATACTTTACGAACTATTGAAAAACATAAAATAATAGCTGAGAAATGGAAATATTCTGTATTTAGTGAGTGTAAATAGTTGTTTGATCAATATGGTATTCGATGGTCAAGTTTCTTCAATTATCATATTTTGATCCAATAAAATTTTCTGTATTTAATCCAATGCATAATATTTTTCTTGAAATAGCTTATAAAATTAATTTAATTTCAAAAAATCAACTTATTAATATTCAAAATATTGTTAATAATAGTCCACTACCTGCTAATATTGGAAGAATTCTACATAAAATAGCATCTAGTTTTTCAAAATTTATATCTGATCAGTAGAAAACATGGACTTTAAGATATTCAACAATGGCTTTAAGAAATATTTTACCAATTCAAGATCAAAAAGTATGGTCATATTTTATAAATGCAGTATCAATTATATCACAACGAATAATCACAACTGAAGAAATTAATCATGGACATAGTTTATTTATAAAATTTTTAAAAGAATTTCAAAAACTATATGGTCCTAATATAATAATACCTAATATGCATTATTATTTATATTTAAAAAATAATATGTTAAATTATGGTTCTTGGTATAGTTATTGGTGCTATGCTTATAAAAGTTTAAATAGACAAATTGCAAGTTTTTATACTTCTGGAAAAACTGTTGAATTGGATATGCTTAATTATATAAATCCACAAATTGAAATTTATAGACTTTTAGATCAAATAAAACCAACATTAACATCAACTGCACAAGCTTCTTTAGATTATTTACAAAATAAACAATTAGAAAAAGGAATATTAGCAATATATAATTATACAATTCCAGAAATAATAGAATTTCAATATTCTATTAATAATATTAATTATTTTGTTACTAAATCTGAAGATTATCCTGAAAGATTAATTAAACCTTTTTCTGAAGCATATTTATTAAATAAAAATTTAAAATTATTAGTTGATTATTATACTAAAATATATTCAAATGATAATCTTAAATTTTATACTGAAGGACAAGTATCTAATGATTCAAATTTATATTTAGTTTCAAAAAGAATTATAAAAGCTAGTGCTTTAGAATTATGTGGTGAATATTTTGGATCTGAACTTACAC